GTGCCACGCTTCTAGTAACAAGTGCCTTACTAGTAGTAACAAGGACGCCTCTAGTAGCATTTTGCAATTCGAAGAGTTTGACCTTCGGTTCTTGGAACTTCGGTGACTCGTCAGGCGGTGTCGCTGATCTCGCCGGTCTTGGTCTCGGCCGTGAAGCGCGGCGGTGGCATCGTGGTCTCGGCGCTCTTCGGTGCAATCTTCTTTAACGAGAAGCTGGAAGGGAGGAGCTGGAAGCGCGGAAGAAGTTGAGGTCAAAGTGGAAGTCATGTCCTGTCTTAGGGAGAGGGGAAGCTAGAAACTGGAAGGAAAACGCATCATGTTCTGAAACAGTGAAACAGGTTCTAAAAGAAGTGTTCCTGTTTCTCACAAGAGGAAGTGGCCATGAAGTGACATCCACAGCCAAAACGTCAAGCCTGGCAGGATGGTCTTAGGTGCAGAGAATCAGAGAGAGAATCGGAACCAAGTTTAAACTGGGAACAAGAAGCTACTAGGGGCTCCCGGCCTTACTACTAGGAGCAAGAAGCTACTAGGAACAAGTGCATCGCTTCTAGTAACAAGTGCCTTACTAGTAGGAACAAGGACGCTACTAGGAGCAAAGGGCATCGCTACTAGGAGCAAGGACGCTGCTCGGTGCAGAGAATCAGAGAGAACCAGAGAATCAGTTTAACATATAGTGTACTTCTTGGATTGTTTGGGCGACAGTGCAAGCTGTGCAAACCATTTTGAAGGGAGGAACACTTGAGACATGATCAAGTACAAAGTATTGCTTGTAAAAGTGTTCTTGATGAGACCCTGAAGCACTGGGTGATGCATAAATGGAGTGGACACACCTCCTGGAGGCTTTCCAACCTGCTCACATTTTGTTGTGGGGTCCTACATCTTCCCAAGTGACAAGTAGGTGTAATTTGTCTCGTCTCAACAGCGGGTCTTTGCAGGAAACAGCTCCTTTTCGTCGTAGCTGTTGGCGAGCCTGGGCGCAGCTGGCAGTCTCTGGTGGGGAGCGGTTCTGGTCTACAGATCAATCGGCAGAACCATCTACAGTATATCGTCATCTAAATCATTAGAGCCTTGAGAGGGGCAGTTTTGCACACATCATGTTTGATTCCACGGGGACATTGCCTGGCAAACCTTTGGCAAAGTCTCATGATGGTTGGGAAAAGTAGAGATTCTCACTTTGGACCAAGTGTTTTTTTTTGTTCCCGTGGACCGACACCTAAACGATACTGTGAGAATCGCGTCAAGTTCTGGACGGTTGGTCTTTGATCAAGATTCATGTCCATATCACCATTCTTTGCATACGAAAAAGTGCCGGCAATCTACGGCAAAGAGTGTTTTCTTGTTTACTGTAGAACAATTTTCGCACCAGGCATGTGATGTGGGCTAGAGGTGAAAAAGATCGGATAGGTGGCAGTCACTCACATTGGCAACTTCAACTCATGAAGCAGAATGGGAAGTGTTTCCCGGGTCAAGCTTCAACATTGGACCACAGCTTGTGTGATGTTATTCTATTTTATTCAGATTCATTCATAGGCTTTATCCCGAGTGCTCGGGATGGACAAGAGTTTTCCTTGGGATACATGAGTTCCAAAGGGTTGAGTTGCCGGTGCCGTGCAGAGATGTTGTTCCCATTTTTGTCCTGAGGTCATGATTCTTTGCGTGTGAGAAGCGGCCCACAGCTGACAGAGCTGAATGCTTTTAATATTAGGATACCTACTAGCGATGGCCTCCACCCTAGTAGCGATGGCCTCCAACCTACTAGCGATGGCCTCCAATGAGGAGGATGAGGATGAGGGACTTGCTGTGCTTGAGCCTCCGCTCAAGACGCAGCGCAAGCACTTGAACTGGTGTGCGCACATGCGTGCAGCAGAGCTGCCTTGGGGTGACATGAAACCAACAAATACAAGTGCACACATGCAGCTGGACCGAAGCACAACCCGAGTTTCAGAACTCTTTGCAACGCCATCAACGTTTTTGCAGACATGCTCATTTTAGTAGAAGCCTAGATGCTGTGCAACTAATTCGAGTTTGGACGTTCCAGGCTGACCTTCAACTGAAGGCTGCCACTATGACTTCACTAAGGAGCTGTGACACCAAATCTGAATGAGTGAGGGAATGACTGAAATCTCAACAAAGAGGGCAGAGGCCAGGGATTTGGATAGGAATCTTTGAGGTGCCCACGATTTTCGAGCTTCGCCAGACCTTTAGGGGGCGTGTTTAGCCTCAACTCAATTCAGATTCCAAAAGCGTGTCATTGGACCCACTTGGGCGTTGAAAAAGGCACGTCGGACCTGCAAGTCCTTCCCACGACCGAGTCACCACTCGCTTTGGGCGAAGATGCTTGTAACCAAGACTGGCAAGAGGATGACCTGTCGATGCTACTTGCTGATCGTCGCCTCTTAACGTTAATCGCGTCCATCCGGGTTACTTGGACAGGTCTCCGGACCTTGTGACCGACTGCGGAAGACCCAACAGCCGCGTTTCAGCGAACATCCAGGGTTCGGCTGACGAGAGAAACCACGGGCAAGCGGTTTGCATGGTCCACCTGTCGATGTTCATGTTAAGTAGACGGAGTTCTTCTACAAGTTCCAGAAAAAGAGAACGTCAACGTGTTGTTCGTCCATCGTAATGGGGTCTACCGGTCTACCTGCCACACTGCAGAGCAACTCGAAGGTCAAGGACGAAAGCGCCACCGTAGACGCACACGTAGACGAACACGTAGACGCTTACGGACGAGCCGTTTTCTACTGCAGAGACAGCAAAGCATTGCTGTAAATAACAAGCGTGGTTCCACACCAAAGAGAAAACTCCCAAGAACCCACCACATCCCCGTTTTCCTCGTGAGGTTGCAGCAAATGACCTGCCTTCCCAGCAAAGGTCGTGGTTTGATGTCGAGGCAGGTGAGCCCTTGCTCGTACCTCGCAACATCAGCCGATGACTCTCGGTCTTGGGGTGTGGAGTACTGAACTCCCCTCACCCCCCCTTACAACCCCAAACGAGTGCTGGCTTTTCCCTTTCCGCCAGATCAAAGCGTCTTTGCTACCGTCTCAAAAAGCTTCACGCAGCCTGCTTTCTCGCACATGCGGTAGCTGACGGTTTCAGGATTCGGTGGTTCATGGGTGAACTTAAATTCCTTGGAGTTCCTATACTCAAATCCACAGCCCGTGGTGAAGGCGTCCTTCACTGCATGAAAGACACTGCTGCCTGTGTTCATCACAAATTTCGGCAGGAACTTCCTGGACAGCTCTTCTGTCCATTTCTCATGCATCAAGACCGACTTGGTCCGGAGTTCACTCAAGATCTCTTCGATCTCTGACTGCGATTGCTTGGCGTTCTGCAAAATCTGTGTGCTTTGCGTTTCCAGGGCATTCTCGATGGCACGTACCATCTTTCTCGACTTCGGGTGATCTGCATCTCGAGGGCCTTGGCTGAGTGGGTGTGGCCAGCCATTTCTCGGCGTTCTCCAACGGGACCTCCCTCAAATACCTGACGATTGCATCACTGCCCCACCGACAGAACAGCTGGATCTTGTAGAACTCAATGCCTTTTCTCGCCATGAATTGGGCCCCCATAGGCCGCAGCATGTGGCCCGTGATGTTCTGGGCTTCCTCCTCGGATAGCCCTTTTGCAATCGCCACTCGACGAAAGGCTTTGATCATGCCCTGCTTGGTTGGTGGTGTCTTGGACTTGTCCGTGACGAGGAATGGATCTTCATCATGATGACCGTTCTCTAGGGCGGCCTGCTGCAGCCTCCTCGCTGCTGCCACCGGGCACAGACTCGGTAGGGTCTCGCACAAACAGCCCTGCCTCCGAAGTGCGCCCTCGCCCTTTGAATCCGTCTTGGAAGCCGGTAGGTATAGGGACACCACCCCACAACCCGTGCCTCCTGTCTCTATCTGGACATGCTTCATCTTCCTCAGGGCTGCTTCCATCTCCCTGCACGCGAAGAGCGAGAACAGGATCACGGTGTCGATCGTCTTCCTTGGGCCTCCATCGACAGGTTCAACCTCCTTCAGCCCTTCCAACTGCCTCAGATCCAGGGCGGGGCACTGTTTGTCAGCGCCTATGCCCCTGACACAGGACCTGATAGCGTCTTTGATGGCCAAGGTCAGATCGTCAGTCCAAGGGTGACTCAAGAGCACATGCTCCCTCTTGAAGGCCGCAAAGTACATGGCTGAAGATCTGTATTGGCCTACCTTCAGCAAGGCCCCATATCGATCGTTTGCACCGTCAAAGGGAAGGGGTCCACGTCCAAGCTCTTTGCTGCACCCACCACTGGACCCTGGCCTTGTGGGTCGCTTGGTTCGAGGCTGCAAACTTGTCATTCTGGAAGTCCTCCATGGCTTTCTTGAACTCCTCTGGGTCTTCAGCCACTTCTTGGGCTTTCGCCCTGTTGCCCGTACGGGCAGGCTTTCACTCCAGGCTCGGTGCACCGGAAGAGGGGGTAGCCGGTGCTGCTGTTGCTGGCGTTCGAGGACTGGGCTTTGCTACAATGGCACTTTCTTCGACCCCCTCTTCCATGGGTGTCTCGCGTTCAGTGGCCGGCTTGGTCACTGTTACTAGTGCACCTTTCCTCATCAGTGCCTGCACGTTGTCATCGGTGTAGATCTTTGGCAGCTTGGGCGGGGGTTCATCACCTCCACTGCTGCCTTCCGAATCCTCCTCCATCTCTGGGTTGATCAACTGCCAAGAGGCGTCCGTGTCTCTGCCCGTGTCACCTGGGGGAGCTTTGTCAAACCTGCAGTCATCCATTGCAGACCCCAATGCTCGCTCCAGGTCGTCCTCCCCCTCTACACGGGCGGGTGGGTCTTTGGGACACTTGTGTTCATGTTCACAACCTGGATGGTATGGTCCAGCATCACAACTCAAACAACTTATGGCAGCGGTGACCTCCACCGGGTTTGAGCACGTGATGCATGTGACCTTCTTCACGAGGCTCTCTGCCATGTCTGGTTCAACCGGTGTCGTCTCTCCCGACGTACTGGGCTGCATCAACAGCCCAGGGTACACCCCCCCTGCCGTCTCCAAGGCGAACTCGGTTGACAATCTTCTCATGTCAAACGGCTGCAGGAAAGACATGCGAATCGATCGAACATGTACAAAACACATCAGTCAGACTCTTGCTTGCAATGCTTGACAAAGCAATGGACACACACAGCAGTCGGTCTCTTGCATATCGTGCGTGACACGGCAACTGACATGTTCCCCCCCCCCAGGATACTCCCTGGCGCACGAGTGATGCCCATCTCGGCATTGAAGCTGCCTTGCACGCGGGCGGCCGACACTCACGCTGATCACATGATACGAGCGACGTGACTCGGCGTTTCACCCCTCTCCCCGGTCTCCCCTGCTCGGTTGGCCATTCACCCTCTTCGGGATGCCCACCCAGTGTGGGAACGTGCGCTCCCCCTCACTGTTTCTCACTTTTCGTGCCAAAGCTCAGGTGCATGCTCCACCCTCGGCAGGTGAGAAAGCTCTCTAGGCATCTGGCCCCGGGAAAGGGCGTCTGCCCACACGTTCTGCTCGCTCCACAAATGCAGCGCTTCTAGTGAAGCGAAGTGGACAGCGAGGTGCAGCGCCGCTTCTTTTGTGACTTCATTCAGCAAAGGCGCCTTCGCTGCTCTCCTCACTAGGGCAAACAGAACTCCTTGTGCGTCTCCACGGATTCTGATATAGCCCTGGTCCCCTGTCTTCACCCAGGCCCACAAACATCGCAGCATCATATATGCTTCCCACAACGCTTGTGAACCAGCTTCACCGATCACTGCACCAGTCTTTGCCTCATCTACTGCCGTCCAGGTGAGGGAGAAGACTTCCGTTGGCTGACCTGCACACAGCCGCACTGCCCCCCCACCCCACGGTGAGGCGTCCACCAGAAAATCTAGCCGGCACCGGTGTCTAGTGTGTGCATACACTGTTCTTTCCAGACCTTCTGGCCCCCAACTCCATAGGAACCGCTTGATCCAGCGCAGCGCCGGCTCGATCTGCCGGTGATAGACCTGCCCTGGCCCTGTAACTTGCTTGGGTTGGATGTCAAGGCTGCATACAACATCCGTACAAATGGCTTGAGCTGCGGGATGAAACCAGCTGCCCAGGACATCTTGCCTGTAAACTGTTGCAACAACTTTCTTCTCACTAAGGGTTTGGTGTCTAGCGTCTCTAGGAGCATTCTCCACTCCTCCAGCTTGCTTGCGGTCACCATGACCTTGACATATCCGTCCTGATCATTCACGATCATCTTGGCCCCTATCCACTCAGCTTCGGATCCCACTGATCCTTTTGACCAGGCCACCTTCAGCCCCAATGTCAACCACCACAACAACACAATGTTGTAAATGCTGTTGAGCTGAGCCTCTGTGCCACGGGCCACGATCAAGGGATCGTCAACAAAGATTTGTAGCCTGCATCGACTTGCATGGAACAATGCTTGTGTCGACCTTGCTATCAACGCGGCAACTCTGCCCCAGACTAGAGGTCCCGTCTTGACCCCGAATAGTACTGTTCTGTAAACAAAGTGACCTCCCAACGCCCTACCCGACAAGTATCTGTACTCGTTCTGTCTCACTTTGTAGGTGCTTAAAGGCGTCGGAGAAGTTCTCCGGCTCATGAACCTGACCTTCTCGTCAGGTGTCCGCGTCTCAAGCAGGTGGAGAGCATCCTCCATTGCATCCCTCAATCTGGGCAACACGAGCCTCTCCTTGAGGGTGATGTGGCCGTTGACCTGACTCCTCCTCAGGTCATGCACCAGCCTTCCCTTCACCGTTCCGTCCAGCTTGATCTTGGAGATGTAGCCTATGGCCGAGGGCACCAACGTCCCATACAGATCTTCTAGCTCCTTCAGGTCTCTGGTCCAGTGCACGAACCCTTTGTCCACCTCCTTCTGGAAGAGGGCGTCTGCCGCCTCCTTCTCCTCCTCGTACGACTTGTAATTGTTCAATGCACCCTCCAACTCGGCCAGAGACTCAAACTTGTCTTCCTCCTGCCACGGGTCTTCTTCCTCCACCTTCGGGAACACTCCTCCCACCGGTATATCATTGATGATGCCCAAGGGTGTTCCTTTTCTCGGCCAGCTTGCTGCTTCTGAGTCCGGGTCGTCGCTCAGGTGAACCAGCTTCTCAAGTAGGGCCCCCCAGAGCCCACGCTCATGGGGTGCACACCCGAAGACCTTGGCCACCTTTGCCCTCAACCAAATCAACTCATGTTCTGGCAGATCACCTGGTTCCTTGCCGACCCACAACAGAGGGTTGCTAAGCTTGTCCAACTGGCCCAGACTTGACTGTAACACGCGCCAACCAATGTTTCCAACCTGCAACCACTTGGGCAACATCTGAACTGCATGCCAAGGATTCCTGAGGCCCCCAATGCATTGTTCATTCTCTTGTTCAACCAATGCCTTCTTTGAAAAGAGGTCCCTGACCTTAGCATCCTCTTTCATCACTAGCTTCCAACTGTCAGGCCTGTTTCCAACCGTCTCCAGCTCCTTGGCGTATGCCTTCGCCAGCTCAATGCACAGGCCTTGTGGATATTCTGCTGCAAGCGAGGTCTTGAACACCTTGTTGCAATGAAAGTCCAAGGTGAATCCTATCAGCGGCTCATGCTGATGTTCTGGCCTTCCTGGGCAACGTTTCTCCATGGCCTCCATGAATCTTGCATTGCTCAACCAGCCTGTGGGCTTGACGTACTCACCCATAAAAGCACACTGGTCACCTTTGTAAAGCCTCACGCCTTGGAGTTGCAGCAACCGCTTCACAGGTGCATAGAGCCATATGTAGGAGCCTTCAGGGTTTTCTAGTGAGAACCATCCGCCAGCTTTCCACTGTAAAAGCGACAGCTGTGCAGCTCTCGAAGCCAACACGTTAGCCTCCTTCACTCTCCACGACTTTGGTTCCAAGCCAGCTGGTTGCTGAGCTGATCGAAGCTGACGGGCCTTGGCAAACTTGTCCCTCCTCCGGGCTCTCGAGAAGGTGCAGGGCGGAGCTGTGTGTAACCATCTCACCTTCTTTGACTTAATTTCACTTTTGAGCTTCTTGAAAGTTTCCTTGCACAAAAGGTCTGTACCCACTGCAATGCGGCCTCCTGTTCTGATCTCTCCAGGTTCGAACACTGGAATACCCAATCTGCTAACAGCTTGAGTGAGTCCAGCCTCACCCGCAAAGAGCTCCATAAAGCAGCGGTCTTGTGAAACCATGCCATCACCCACCTCCTTAGGAGGTGATGTCTTTGCACGCTTGCTTGCACCAAATTCAATGTCAACTGCCCTTCTCTTCAGCCGCTCCCGCAGTAGTGCCAACTTCATCTCGACGTCGGCTTCTGCTGCCTGGGGAGCCACCGAGGGGCACTGTAGTCGCTTGTGCTTCAACCTCTTGTGGGGGTTCCCTCCCCCCTTGCTCTTGCCTTTGCCTTTCGGCTTCTCCTTCTTGTCCGGATTCCATCCCGGGCTGTGAGGGCAGTCAATGGTCTTGTGTGGTGCCCTGCACCACTCACAGATGTGTGCAAACCCTTTGTCACAACGATCGTTCGAACACCCATCTGCTGCCCTCGACCAAGCATAGCAAATATTGATGCCTGCTTTGCTCCGGAAATACCTGCCATCCTTCCGCTGGGGATCGAAACCTGAGGAATTGTTCGTCTTCTTCTTGGGTTGTGGCTTCATCCAGCTCTGATCATCAGTCGTGCTTGGTCCAGCTGGCCTCGCCGGGACTGCCTTGGCGGAGTTCATCACATACAACAATGCCGGCTTCTCAAACTCCCTGGACCAAAACTCTGAATGTGAAGCACTGGCCCGAATAACTGAGTTCCACGGCTGATCCGGTACGAAGGCTGACAAGGCTGCATGTGTGGCGTGAAATGCCTCCTGCTTGCGTTTCTCTTGGGACCAGAACTCCGTCCTGCACCTGATGTCAGCTTGTGCAGCCAAGTGCCAAACATCCGGATGTTGCAGAACCCTCGTCCTGAACTCTGAGGCGTATCGGTCAAGGGAGGCTGCTGTAGCCATCTGTAGCATGAGGGCTGCTGTCCGGAAGATTCGCCATGACTCCTCCCAGGAATCGAGACTCGATGCCCCGGGTAGTTCAACAGCCTTCCATTGCCCATCATGCCACTGTTGTGACACGAACCTCATAGCCCTTGCAATCCTGTCACCATGTGGCCCCCACACGCCCATGTCAACGAATGGTGGCTGCCCTGATTGAAGCTTGTAAAACAAACAACTCAACTGGGCGTCCGTCACTTCCTCTTTCTCGAGGGGGTTGTCACCTTCTGAAATCACATATTGAGACCTCATCTTCTGCAAGGTGGTGTTGGGTAACATCTCAACCTCGAAATCAACTCCCAGGTCGATGATTTGATTGATCTTCAACTTGAGCTTGGTCCCACTTGAACCTGCAGCCGAACTCTTGCTGGCAGGTGTCTCCGGTGTGTGGGTGGCGGTCGAGGCGAACAACGATGGAGCTCCGTATTTGACCCTGATCGCACTGAGCACCAGCCTCCATTGGGCCTTCTCGGTTTCATGCAACGACCTGTCACCTCGGGTGGCGCTACCAAGGGCTGCTTCAAAGACCTCGATCGGGATCACGGCCAACACTGGCAGCGCATTCAGCTCGGGGTCACCCAACTGACGAGCCACCGCCCTCACCAGACCTGCTTCCAGACCCCCCCACGTGGCTGCCTCTCGCAGCGTGGTCCACGCCCCGAGGGTTGCTCGGTCTGGAAGCAGGCCATCCATGGCTACCGACCCCCCCACTTATCTTCAATGGGGGGAAATCTGGTACCAGATGGCCTTGAGCCAAAGAACTAAACCCACCCATCCACCCTGAGGTTTACCACCACTCATTGTTACTTCGGCCATACTGGCCTACCCAGCATACCAACCAAACGTCATTGGCCTGCACCCACAACAAACTGAATGTGGAGAGATGTGCATAACTTCATAACATTAAAACGTGCGCAGCCGATAGCGCGGTTTTCCCTGCACTAGCAACAACATGGAAAAAAATATCGCAAAACAGACCTGGCAGCTTAGAAGTAACAACGCTTACACACTCCCGTAAGCGCTGAGATGTATCGAGAATATTTGAGAATCAGTTGACCCCGAAATTTGATGGACTGATCCCAACTGACTGGTGTTCTGCCGTTCTCATCGCCAGGCCGAGACTAGTGTCTCAGAGGCGAGGGCCTATGTATTGAGGTGGAATGAGGACAAAGGGTCTCAATTGCCTCCAACCTCATAGCGATGTGCCTCCACCTAGTAGCGTCCTTGTTTTAGTAGCAATGGCCTCCACCCTAGTAGCGATGGCCTCCAACCCAACAATAGCAGTGGTGTTTGAAGTGGAAAGCAGGTTTCGTTTGTTTCGCTCTTTGACATTTTCTTTAAAGTCAACATTTCAAATCCAATGTTTGCGCAGGCCCGACGTTTTACAGGGTTTCTCCACTTGCGGGTTGCTTCGTGGTGACCAGGTGCTTCGTCGAGTCGAAGTCGAGCGCGCCAGGGCTTCCAGTCAGATGAAGCTGAAGACAAAGGAGTGGATGGCGATGGATGGCGGGTCTCGGGGGTGGACCAGGTTGATGAGTCGATGATGCGTCATTTTAACTTTCAAGCTACATGCTTCACAACAACCATACAAGCTGGCAAGTTCGGTCCTAGATGGAAAGTCACAAAAAGTGGAGGTCCAAGCCGAGCGCGAAGGAGAGGAGGTCACAGTGGGCCTCTGGCAGCAGCTCTGTGCCTTGCAGCATGGACTTTCAGAGGTCGAAAGGCACGCGACGTGAGAAGTTCGCTCTCGACGGGTTTGGCCGAGACACGCTGCAGGGATGCGACTGCGCTTCCCGGCTTTTGCACGGTCACTGTTCCTTTCTGTCGAAACATGTTAGAAGCGTTCGGGCAACACACACACCCACCAGGGTGCCAAAAGCAGAATGTAAACTTCCAAGACTACGACTACGAAGACCTCTTTCTCTCCGTTCAAGATTGGATTCCAGTCGATGCCCAAGAGTCAAGACGTTCCTCGGATGAAACGGCGCTGCGACCGAACTGCCAGGAAGATCAGCAAGCACATCAGCCTTCAAGAGGATGGAAAGGGGATGGGAATGGGTTCTTGAAGTTGAAGATGCTCACTTCCACCAGGGTTTAGCAAAGCTTGCTTTGTGCTTTTGAGTTTTCTTCCAGACGGATTTTATCAGATGTGTTTCGCAAGGAATGCGGTGTTGTCTTTGAATAGTTTCGATTTTGGACCTTCTTACGTCAAGTCGTTTGAATTTGCTTCCACTCACTCCTTGGTGCTCTTTGGCCGAATCAGGCACGGCAGCAGCGATGTACCCGCAACCGCCACCGTGCCTTTGGCTTCGACCGTCGTCGGTGTCGCACGGAGGATTGATTGGACCGATAGGGAGCGAACCTGGCACTGGGGTGATTCCAAGACCCTCTAGGCCAAGAAGATCAAAGATGCAGTCGCCGATGGGCAAAAGCGATGTCTGCAGATGCACGCATAGAGAGTGCTTCTGGTCTTTTGGGATTTCTCCGAAGGTGCAATGAACGGACCTATGACCTTTAACCACAGCATGTGCCGTGTCGTGTGTGTGGTGTGTCGATGGCCTCCAACCTAGCCATTGCTTTTAGGTTGGAGGCCATCGCTATTAGTGAAACGCTTCAGGTTGGGTGCTCCAACAGCGCTTGCAGGCGACGTCGCATCGGCGAGGGAGCGGCGAGCGGCGAGCGGCCGTCGAGCCAGGCACTTCGAAGCCGCGCTCGTTGGCCAGGTGCCCACACGCTTCAAAGGCCTGCTACCGCCGGGCTTGGTGGCATGGGGGCCCAATAGAGCTGGCGAATTGATGATATTGATGTGCTCTATGACTACATATTATGACTCCATATGACTCATGGATGGTCCTTGGAGCTGGTAGTGACAGCTCACAAGATCACAAGAGCAAATCATTGGAACTCGCTTCGGTATGGAGTGATCACCATTGTAGTTCTTTGCACGATGTTTTGAAGCCTCTTTGGCCGTGGGGCATCAGGTATGGCTTTTCAATTTTTAAAGGTCTTCACGAAGGTTCCATGGCACTCGAAGATGCATGAAGTTGCTAGGTTCTCTCGTACGCGATAAAATCACTTGTGGGCTGACCAACTGCGGCCACACTCAGGTGAGCCCGAAAAACGAGGCGCACGTAGGGCCTGAAGCCGAACTCAGGGAATTGGGTGAACCGGAATGCTTGGAGGGTTGTGACTGCGACAGTGGCGCAGGAGGGTTGCAGGTGCTGTTTTTGAGACATTGTTAGACATTGTGTTTGTCGGATTTGTGGCCGGTTTCACCGAAGATTGCAGATCAGGTTTGCAAAACTGATTTTGTGACGGTCTCGTCTGTAACGCTGAAGACGAGCTTTTTTTTCGAGTCACTTTTCAGGTGGAAAGGTGAGAATTTGGACGGTCAGTTGCAGTTAACAACGGACGCTACGAACGGAGTGTTCGGACGCTGCCAGGGGCTGGCCTTACTAGGAACAAGAAGCTAACGGAGCAAAGGGCATCACCCATACTGCATCCCTTCCCCCCGTCGGCCCGTCACCGGTTTCAGGTTGCAGAGACGCCAGGACCGATTTTGCTCTGTGCATCGGTCTCTTCAGATTTGTCTTAGCTTCTTGCTCCTAGTAGTAAGGCCCTTGTTGCTAGTAAGGCACTTGTTACTAATAGCTTCTTGTTACTACTAGTAAGTCACTTGTTACTAGAAGCGATGCACTTGTTCCTAGTAGCTTCTTTGTTTTCATTTGACGTTTGTAGCTAAGAAGAATGCAGGGTAGGACAGTGTTCCGGAAGGCAGACCCCCAAAGCTTATATGAGATACTGAGTTATTCAACCCCAAGGTCTCAGAAACAACTCTTTTGCCAACACTTCGCGTCGATAGTTTTCAAGCTCAGTAAAGCACCTGTGATTGATGACAGAATCACAATGAATCATAGGACTTGACAATCCTTATTCAGCCCGCTCATCCAACTACTCGCCAGGAATCCTTGTCACTAGCCCTTCAACACCAGCCCTTCAGTGACACATGACATATATGGGTTCTCGACCTTAAACTTAGCCAGCTACATGCTAGCCCTACCTTCCATTCATCACCGATCACTATTTATCTAATTCTATTTATACACTGTATTTATATATCAACATTTCTATCAATATGTTTCTAAAGATTCATCATAGATGAACAAACATGAATCAACCATCAGTGCCCCAAGGATTGTTCGCGCCAGGCGGAGTCTCGCCCCCACAGCCTCGCCCCCGGCAGCGCCTACCGCCCCGCCGGCGTACCGCGGTGCGAGTGGCACCGGTGGGAGCAGATGAGGCACCGACCTTCTGCCTGGAGGAGCAGGTGGCACCCAGCGAATTGCCCAGGCAGGGGTGCCTTTTCAAGGCACCAAAGGGCAGTTGGGACGTCGAGCCTGACTTGATCAGGCAGGACCTGTTGAGGTTTGGAAGAGATCTCAATCCGTTTGAATCCATTTTCGCTCGAGGTCACTTCTGGCCTCCCCCGAGCGCCCGCCACGGAGCACGTGGAGCACGCGGAGCGCCTCGCATCGCCACGGAGAGCTCGACACGAAGAGCGACGCAGCGAGCGAGGAAGAGCGGCCGCTGCACGAAGGCCACGAAGAGCGAGCGCAGATCGTCCATTCGGACGAATTTGCACGAAGCGCTGCTCGGGAACATGGAAGTGTGATCAAAGAGGAGGACCAGGGGAAACGAATTCGACGTTGCTTTAGAGCTATCGAAGCCAGTCTCAGATAGTCGGTTACTGCATGTCGCCAATTCCAGGACATGCTGGAGCAGCTGCAGAATTTGGCCAATTCTTTCAGACCTGACAGCTCTCCATCTGACTCCTCTGCCTCTGCACCTGGTGAGCGACTGGATGAAGTCTCTTGACGCCGAACATGTGCACATGCTGATAGTCCACTGAGAGCGTGTTCATGTTTTTCACATCGTTATAGAATGAAGGCCATTGCTATTAGGTTGGAGGCCAACTCTCTTAGTTATAAGTTATAGAGTCTCTCCTTTTGACTCTTTTGACTCTCCGAAGCTGCGTCTCTGAGGTGAGTGGCCCATCGTTAGGACACCCGAGCAAGTCGGTGGAAGCCTTTGGATCAGGTGGTCAAGACGTTCAAAGTGACGTATCAGGTGGTCCAGACCGTCAAGCTCAAGACAGACCGCTGGTTTTTCAAGATCCTGCTGCACGAAGAAGGTCCAGTTCTTCACAGAGTACATCTCCAAGACCTAGTGTGGTCCATTACGGAGCACATACTGTCCAAAGTGGCATATCCAGTGTGCTTCTTCAAGCTAGACCTGTTTCTCAATCAAGACCGTCCAGTGCATCAAGTGCTCCAAAGCCGAGCACTGATCATTCCGATCCCCCAGTCGATGCTCACGTCGACGTACGTGCTGTGAAGGGTCGAAATGCTGTGTTTCACCACCCATCAGCACGGAGATCCGGTGGCAGCGGATCTCCGACTGAAAGCATCGATGAAGGGACATTGGACGCGCTTCCACTGGACATCCCGGGCGCTTCGGTGCAAGGACACAAAGACACTGAAGGATTATCCGAAGCTCCAAAGGGTGCATCTCCAGCCCCTAGTGTGATTGATTACGAAGCGAATCGAATCCAAAGCAGCATATCCAGCGTCCTCTCACAATTCAGACAAGCTGGCTTTCAAGATGGTGCTGCTCGAAGAGCTTCCAAGAGCACTTCTCCGCGACCCAGCGTGGATGGTTCGCATCCCCAAAGTGATGTATTGGGTACTCCCGGTGGCAGACAGACCGTTTTTCAAGATCCCAAAGCTGCACAAACGTCCACAGCTTCAACGAGTCGACCTAATGAAGCACTCCATGGTGCACTTCCTCAAAGTGATGTACTGGGTGCACCTGCTGGACCTGTCTCTGTCGTTCATCCTCAAGCTCAGGCATGCATCCGGACCTGCACTGCGGCAAATGGCAATGACCAAAGTGTGACATTGGATGGGTACCTAATAGCAAAAAGAACCTAATAGCAATGGCCTCCAACCTACTAGCGATGCTTTCGAACCTACGAGCGATAGCCCCCCCTAAGAGCGATGGCTACATTCCCTATCCAGTGCAGCCTGGATTGACATCCTTAAGGCTATGTTCAAGGTGTATTGGGTACAGTAGTCTGACTTGAACACATCATCTTCACCTTTGCTCCATCTATATACTCTTGTTCCACTTGCTGCCAGCTACAGCTATAGTTAAGTTATTATGGTCCTGCTCAACATATTATTACGTCTCTGGCTTTATTGTTTGGCAGCTTGAATCGAAGCAGAGAATCGCAAGAGTTCCACTGCGATTTCATAGTTTATACCGTGTGTATATAGAGACAGACTGATAGATAGACAGATAATTGTTGTCTCCCCAGATGGACTCGGGTTTTGCACTTCCAAAGGCTATGGTCCCAGATGTGAAGCTGCACTCAGAGGACAGCGACAGCTTCTTTTTTCTTTGCTCAAGAGGTCCATGAAAAGGAGGGAATTTGAGGGAAGAAACGTGCCAGTTTATTTGGAAGATTATTGGACTTCGAAGAGATTGGACTTGGAAGATTTATTGGACTTCGGGAGCGGTGGAAAGTGCGGCCTGTCGCGATTTGGAGGACAGTTCCAGCGACTCTTTGGAGTCGGAGGAAGAGGATGAGGAGGATGAGGAGGATGAGGAGCCTTCATTTTTGGACATTGTGGCATTGTCGGTGACACATGTTCCCTCCCTGCCATGATGCTTCATGAATTTGTGGATGTTCTTTGCACGCTTTCAGAGGTGTTTTGATTGCCATGGACCTCCGGACTCCGGGAGTAAGCATGATTCCATATGATTCCCAAGGCAGGAAAATTGACTGGGAGATTGACTGGGTACAACCGTTCATCCACCAAGTTTGATTTCTGAAAGACATGCTTTTGTCTCTTCAAACCTGCCAAGACCGTATTTTGAAGCAGGACATGACGGAATTCGATCATGCAGCTGCTGCAATTGATCTGATAAAACTTGCAATGGATCTGTTTGCAATGTTTGACTTTTCTTTGTACCAAGCTGATCTAACTTTCACGCGGGGAGGAGGAGGCCGAGGAGGAGGACGAGGAGGAATCTGAAGAGGAGAAGTACGAGAAGTACGACATGGAATAGGACCTGATTGGATCCATCTGTCTGCGGAAAAAAAGGGCTCCTGGCCTTATTACTAGGAGCAAGGACGCTACTAGGGGCTCCTGGCCTTACTACTAGG